GGCCAGCGTGTGATAAGGTCCATAGTCTGGTCCTGTTTCAACCCAGGTACTGACTTCACCCAAACCTCCTTAGGTTTGTCAACATAGCTGCGGCACCTACCACACCTTCTTCATCACAGGAAATTAACAAATTAATTTAGATTCATTTTGATGGGCGCTATCTTCTTCCTGGTACTTTCTACCACAGCCTACTTCACCCTATTATTTTCTAAATCTGAAGAAGGTGGATTGTTTTCTCTGTTTCCCTCCCACTTGCTCACTCTCATACTCTCATTCTTTCTTGTTTTCCATCCCTTCACCACGAAGGGGAGAGAGGTGCCTGGATAGAAAAACCTAACATGTGCAAAAATATTTCACAGATGGAGAATCCATTACACAGGGAAGGAGGGCTAACCCGTATCCTCCCTGCTAGCTAGATACTTTTCCCCAAACCAGTTCTTCATAACATCATTTCACTGGTGTTCCACTTTAATCCTTTTAATGCTTGATCAACAACAAGAGCTTAGAGCCTTTATCCAAAGATTATAAGATATTACAGTTCAAGACCGATATGCTTAGGAAAATAGAAAACCCTCCCCATGACTCTTCAAGTTCTACCTCTTTATGGCATTTTGCAATTTCTTTTGATCTTTCTTAAAAACATCCAAGTACACAGAATATTTATCCTTGCAAGATCCAGGGCGGATTTTGACAATTTGATTTGACTACAGACTATGGTCATGTAAGACAGGAATCTGTGAAACTCAGACTCATGCCCTTTCCTTACTGTAATTTGTCCAACAGTCTGAGATGTCATTTTTGTCATCCTCTCTGATTAACCCTTATTTTACTGGTTTTCGTGATCTGCATATTTAGATCAAAAGATCTGCATTGCTGGAACTGGGTAAAAAGCACCTTTAGTTTCTCTTTCGCTGCTCTGTTACTTCGTTTTTGCTATTTTAATCTCAATACATCAAACATGCTTGCAGAAAAGAAATATACATCGATTAGGAATTTTGCTGGACCTACGACTCTTTCACTAAACATTTATGGCAAGCAGTTCCCAAGCCCCCTGTAGTTCAACATTTGTTTTAAAAATTATATTCTTCATTTAGCATTTGACGTTACTGATAACCTAGAAAGAATGTAGAGAGATTTTGTAGCACCTTTGAGACTAACTGAAAGAAAGAAGTTGGCAGCATGAGCTTTCCTAGACTTAAGCCTACTTCCTCAAATGGATTTGATGGAGAGGAAGTAGATTTAAGTCTAGGAAAGCTCATGCTGCCAACTTCTTTCTTACATACTAATTCTACAGACTAACACAGCTATATCCTTGAACTTAGAAAAAAGTACCTTCATGAGACTGTCTGGAGAAAGTCTGAGTCCCATCCACCACAAGCTTCCAAGAAGAGGAAGTGGGAAAGGGCCAGGCGGGTATTTCTTGCGAATCCAAAGAAGTTTCAGATAGGATAGAATTAAAAGGCCCACTGGCAGAGCAATAACAATTTTCCAGATGCCAACCATTCTTTTGACTGTTCTTTCTCTGCTGCTGTATCTTTCCAGAATCCCCGTTTGGCACTGCTTTTTATAGTCTCCAAACTAGAGATGAAAAGACAAGACTTCTTGCACCATATACAATTAGCCATGATAATGTGTTCCACCTTGACTTGGTTATAAGATTGCAGTTATTAAGATGGTTAACTCCATTATGTATCACCTGAATAGCTGAAAGAAGAGATGTTGGGAGATGTGAGAGATAGTAGTATATCTTTGCTAGCAAAATAATTAATATTTACAAACAAAAGATGAACAACAACCAGTCCCACAACACCACCACACATAGGGTCTACCTGAGAAGTAAAGCAGGCTTAGTTTTCTTTCTTAAAATATATAATGTAGTTTTACTTACAAATACTGAAGGTTATGTAACATCTCATTAGTGTGAGGCTCTATAACATATCCTTTCAAACATGGAGAAAGGAGAGAAATTTTGGATTGATGGATGCAGAAAGAGGAAGGGTGTGGCTAAGACTAATAAATGGAAAATCATGTGGTACGTCCAAAGAGTTGGTGTTATCCAGTGTTGTAACTCATGGTGCCACTATCATGGACCTGCTCCTTTAGTAATGTTTTTTGTACTAATGTTACTTGTGGACAGGCAGGGGCAAGAACTGCAGTTGATTTATGGTGACCCAATTAATTTCGTAGGATTTTCTTAGGTAAGGGATACTCAGATGTCAGTGTGGCATAGTGGTTTGAGCATTGGATTGTGACTCTGGGGACCAAGGTTTGATTCCGTACTCGGTCATGAAACCCACTGAGTGACCTTGGGTGAGTCACCCTCTATCAGCTTCAGAGGATGGCAATGGCAAACCCCTTTGGGGGGAAAATCTTGCCAAGCATGATAATAGGTTCACTTTAAGGTTACTATAAGGCACATATTGACAGCAGACACAGAGGTGGTTTTGTATTTTTGTATTTTGTATTTCCTGTGAAATACAACCTACAGCACCTGTAGGTATTTGGTAGTGAGCCCCCATCCAAGTACTACCCAAAGCTGACCCTCTTAACTTCTAAGATCAGGTGGAATCGGCTGTGTTTGGGGCATTTAAGCCCTATATGGGAGAGACTGCTCAGGACAATTGTATTCCCTGCCCTAGTTATTTCCTCTACCCAGAGCTTTGACTAAATCGCCTATTAAGACAACGTGAAATTCCCCAAGAATCATCAAAAAACCTCAGTCCCTCAGCCTCCTGGGTGAGATCATCTCATGTGAGCCCATCCTACTGCAGATGCTCCAGGTTCCTGCAAGACTAAACCCCAACCAGTAATAATCTGTCCATGATAACATTACTACAGAGGGTTCCCACACACAAAGACTAACACCAACCTCATCCAGACAGAAAATCAGGCCCAGAATGTGTCCAACAACATGAGATTGACCAGATATCACAGGCAACAGGCCTGTGGCCATTATGGTGGACCATGGTCACTCTTGACAAGGTAATCTCATCATTTATTTTGAATTTTCCCATCACAACAAGCCAGGGGGAACTCAGCAACACAACTGAGAATTTCTCTGCTAGCTCAGAAAGGAAGACTGTTGAGCAGCCAAGTAGAGGCTACACCAACAGAATCCCTGTTTAGTCCCAGGCACCTAACTTCAATTTACCCATTCAAACCTAGCAGCATGCTAAATTTGCAACAGACTGCTCTAACTCCATCACATTGTCACCTAGATCTTGCATACTGCTGCCCAAGGAAGCCTGGTGTGCAAAGCTGAGAGATTTGGCTCCACCTCTCTGTAATATAAGGCAGATTGGTAAACACTGCTGTGTAAAATAAAAACACTTTCTCCTGTTAATATTTTTTTAATTATACATATACAGTGTATATCTGCAGGGGATCCATTCTGAACCCATCCATCCCCAGGATACCAAAATCCGTGGATGCTCAAGCCCACATTGTCTCCAATGGCAGCTCGGCCACATGGCCATGCCATCATTGGGGACAACATAGGCTTGCCGTCCACAGATGGCAAGTCCACAGATACTGAAGTCCCACTGTAAATCACCACTCATGAAAAACAGGCAACATAAACTCTTTTTTTCTACACTAAACTTTTAACAATTGCTCACACATATTATCTGTATTTCGTTCAACCCTAAAGTATAAATAAAATTTTGTGATGCATGATTTCCAGCACTGAGTGCTGGCTTAGCCATCCAACCAATACAGTTGGTATTGCATAGTAAGTATAGTGTTGCTACCTCTAACAAGAGAGTTTTAGCTGAGTGATATTGCCATCATTTACATTGCTGAGAGAGATTTTTGCCTTCCATCAGAAAGACTACAGAAAAGGGGCAGCCCAAGCATGCAAGTTTTACAAAGTGTGAATAGCCACCAAGACCTCTTGCTAGCATTTCTTAGGCTGTGTCCACACTGCAGAAATAATCCAGCTTGACACCACTTTAATTTCCATGGCTCAGTGCTATGGTCTTCTCTGTCAGAGAGCTCTAGTCCCACAACAAACTGCAAATCCCAGCATTCCATAGTATTGAGCCACTGCCGTTAAAATGGTGTGAAGGTGGATTATTTCTGCAGTGCCGATGCAGCCTTACCATCCCATATCTTGTTGTGCATTCTGGGGTTTGTAGTTCAGTGAGGCCTAAGAACTCTCTGGCTGAGAACTCTAAATGACCCTCTCTAAACTGCAAATCCCAGAATGCCACAGGAGGCAGCCAGAGCTGTAAAAGTGGAATAGCGGCAGTGTAAGAATGTAGGGCGATAATCTACTTAGATTCAGATTGTACCTGATGCCTTAAGTTTCCAGCAATAACTATAGGACTGGAGTTGTAAACTCTGGTATTAGAATACCCTATTAAATTTGAACAGATGGACAACACAGCAATGGGGGACGGGGGAATCCCTAGTTAAAACCCAGACCCAGTCCATCTTGATATTGGTTGAAGAACACTGGGAGTACTTGCAGTTCATGCTGGCACCCACCTCCAATTACCACTTAATTTTGGGAATGGACTGACTTGATTTTCTTGATCCTTCAATAGAATGGAAAGCCAGGAAAATTAGATTCCCTAACCCATCTTGCTCAGGTCGGCCATCAATCAGAAGGCTGGAGCCAGAAACCACAGAATTAACTGTTCTAACAGAAATGGGGACAGTGGAAGGGGATCCAGGAAACTTCCCAGCTTGGTGAGGTTTTTGCTGAAAAGGAAAGCCATCAGCTCCCCTTCAACAGACTATGCCACTGAACTAGAGACAGGGGCACAACCACCTAAACCCAAATTACATTCCATGAACCCTCTAGAGATTCAAATTTTCTGAGAATTTATAGACAAAAATCTAGCTGTAGGTTCACATGGCCATCCACTTCTTTCACCTCCCCAATAGTTTTTAGAATGGGAAGGATGGGACTCTAAAGCTGGTGACCGATTTCCAAAATCTCAACAGTATTTATACGACCAATAAATGCCCCATCTCCCTTCTGAAAGACATGCTTAGCTACTAGTAAAGTATTTAGCAAATTAGACTTAAAGGACCTTTAGGGCCAAAACAGATGAGAAGGAAGGAGTGGCCAGAAGCCACTGTCAGCCCAGTCACCCTGGGACTGTGGTGAACACAGACCATGGTCCCAAGGGGGCTTCCTCCCACAGCCCCAAATAGGAGCGAAAAAGATCCACTCTTTTATGGCCTGTTTTGGGCCTCCTCAGGCATCCCCAGGACAACTTCTGGGAACTCCAGGGGTGTGCATCATGTAAATGACATGCCCCTCCAAGTGGACAGAAGCCACCCCATCTGCCTGTCTGTTTTAGGCCTTACATTCAAGTATGGATGCAGGAAGGAGCTTAACATAAAACTGATTTTAATTGCCCACTGGGTGTATTTGAATATTTCATCATGCCATTTGGACTGGCAGGGGCTCCGGGAGTGATTATGTGTTTGGCGAATGAACTTCTACATGATTTATTGTTTTCAGGGAGTGCTGGTATATCTGGATGGTGTGCTGATTTATTGCCAACATCTGAAATCCCACATCAGGCTGGTGAGGGACATTTTGAAGCACCTCTAAGTCAACCATCTATATCAG